GTTTTTTGCAATAATACCTATGATTGCACTTTTCCCGCAAAATTGACGACACTCAAACAACAATCTCGTATCCTTGCCCCAGCTTTTTTCACACACTTCAAAAACTTAGAAACTTTCACCGATCTTGACAAAGATATAATTCTACACAATTTAAGTCTTTTTCAAGATTTTATAAGCGATCCAAATCAACGAACCCATTAAGAAGTTCATTGCATATCTGCCTGTTCAGTCAGCATCCCTTAATCCTATAGGTCGTCAACGAATATTGCGCTAAACTTTTTTGAGTCTTTAACCTTATTAATTCTTCTACAATATTACGCTTTTCACTCGGCAGTGCAATTATATATGTGATCCTAACAATTCGAAAACTAAACCTTGTATCACTCATTGTTAAAATGCCTTACTCTGGTAATTACAAATTTGGTGACGCACGTCTTTGAAGAAAGTTGTAATCCTAGCCTCTCTAATGTAAACACTTAATAATTTCACCTTGAGCAACAAGAAAAACTAATTCAACAATTTTTTAATAACAAAAAAGACTGTCATTCTTTCAAAACTTTTACACATCCTGACCCCAACACACTTATTCGTTTTAGTGATCTACTTAATCACGACATTTCCCTGACCCTTTCATTTACCATAACTTTTTTTATGCCCAGCACTTTCATTTTATTTTTTGATATTCTTTTTTTTTTGTAATTCAAAAATAGGCGAGTAGAAATAAAGAAATTAATGATATAAATAGGTACAACTTAGAACTCATGATTATAAACTTATGACTGAATGAATTTCATTTGTTATACTAGATCATATTAAAATAATATGCAAACAAATTATTTGTACGAACAATCTTAATGTAAAAGCACATGAACTATCAAGTTGGCATTCAAGACTATAGTAGATATCGGAAGATTAATACTGTTATAATTAATGATGCCTGACGAATGACGAAACCATTTCGTCAGGCAACTTCGAAATGACGAATGACGAATGACGTAACTTGTGACGAATGACGAAACTCATGACGAATGACGAAATTCATGACGAAACATAAATTTTATATGAAAAGTATAAGAAAAATTTAAAAACAGGATCTATTCTTTAGGAGTCATTGAAAACTAGTTAATGGAAATAAATTAGTCTATATAAATTTAATTTTTTGTTCATTATTATATCTGCCCGGTTTGTTATGTTTTTTGACATATTTATCCGACATTTCCCGA